CTCTCTGCAGTGTAAAGAAGGCGGTTTCCCTCACGACCTGTGGCTGGGTGTGAGTGCTGACAATGTGTCTGTGTATAAACGAGGTGAACCCAAACCTCTGGAGACCTTCCAGTACGAACACATCACCTTCTTCGGGGCTTCTCAGCCCTGCACCTACAAGATCATCGTGGATGAAAGGGAGATGTTCTTTGAGACTCCATTGGTGAGAGCTCATTATTTACCTTTTATTTCTTTTTTTTCATTTCCTTTTTCATGATTTTTTTTCATTATTGAATGCTGCACCAATTATTTTCTCAATTATTCGATTAATGCTTGATCTATAAAACACCGGCAACCAGTAAAAAAAAAAGCAATTTTCTATATGTCGGCATTTTAGCTTGAAAAATTACTAAAACTAAAGAATGACTCTATTATCAAAATGGTTACTCAATAATTCTGTGTTCATCAACTAATTATTTGTCTTATGTTTCATCTTATGCTTCTTTTTCTGCTTTTTATATTCTTGTTTGTTTTGTCTTGTCTTCCTGTTTATAATTACACCTGATTGAATTTGAAAAGTTTGGGGATCAACAAAGTCAGTGGGATTCATCCTCTGAGGACCATGAATGTCAAACTTTTATATCAATCCGTCCAACAGTTGTTGAGATATTTCAGTTTATTTCAGTTCTGGACTGACAGAGTGCCGTTGCCATACAAAATGTCACTTTAATATTTTAGCTCTTAACCACTCATTAACACCGATGTGCAAACTGAGGGATATTTTTTTACTTTTTAGGTTGGAGAGATCACCAAGATCATGAGGGCCTACATTAATATGATGGTGAAGAAACGTTGCAGCATCATGTCAGTGACCAGCGTCGCCAGTTCCTGGGTCAGGTGATCGGCACCAACCAATCAGAGCCCTCGGTTTGTCAAGTGGCAAGCAGATGCCTCGGCCCCACGGCATTAGTTGGTTGGTTTTGTCGCACCAACCAGCTAATCCTCACGGCTGAATCAAGAGCGGTGGATGAGCGAGGAAAGCAAAATGGGGAAGAGTGGACACAGAAGCCAAAACGCACACTCTACTACTGGCCTGGGTTTCACTTGGGATAAGGGATTTATTTAAAAATGAGCATGACAAAGAAAACAACCTGTATTTTGGGACGGTCCTTTCAAATACATAACCCCCAGTTGTAGTCCTGCATGTAGATGTTCAAGCACAACTCCACAACTTCTCTCCGCTTTCCTTTCCGGACAAACAAATCTCAGTAATTTACAAGCACAACTCAGCCGCCCAGTCTGTCCCAGGTGGCTCCCTATCCCCCCCCCCAGTGCACTGCCAGACAGAAGAAAGCCACACTCTCTCAGTTAGATTTCTTTCTCACTCCTCCTCCGAGTTCAGAGTCTCTCTCTTTCTCTTCACGTGTCCTCACTCCTGTTGCATCTTTATTTGCTGTTGGTATTACGTTACGATGCTGAATTCTTGTTCTTGCTTGCTTTCTCTCTGTTGTTTCTCTCTCTGTCTTTTATCTGTAACATCAGCTAGATTTACATTCGTTTGTGACTGAGAAAAAGGACTCGATGATGATTCCTCTTCAGGGCTACTAAAAGCAAAATAAGCTCCATGCCCGACATAGTGTTCACTTGCTCACTTGTCAGTGCCACTGTGTGGCCACAAGAAGAAAATGCAGCCAAAGGAAGTGGCTTTAACTATTTCTGAACAATATCAAATAGATATTCTTGAGAAGAAGGAAGAGTAGGGGTTTTTGCTTTGGAGGCTCTCTGGTCATGTTTAGCTTGACATCAAGAGTCTGTGCATGGTTAACAGCCCCGTGTGGCTCTGTAAAGAGAACAATATCAACCAGAATAGTATGTGACAAAATGTTTCCCTATCTATGTCTACATGTAACACACACTACATACATCTACTGTATATTCACATACATGTAAACATAAACTGAATGAACATGTATCGTTTTGTACTGTATATCACACAATATAAGAGTTATTATTGAATTTTCAGTGGCCACTGCACTGTACAGTATATAGATGCCATACTAAATGAAATGTGACACCTCTCGTGTAAAAATACATGCAAGTGAATGGTGTTAATAATGACCACTGTATGTCTGAATATGATGCCAATACTGTACATCCTTCACTGGCTGTGCCATTAATGTGACTCACAGAGAAGTACGAATTAGCAGAAACACAGACTATTATGAGACTGGCTGCTATGGTGGCCACGTTTTCACAGTGTTTTGATGAATTTATCATTGTTGTCATCTGTGGGACTGACACTAAAGAGCATCAACCGGAGCCATACAGTATTGTATATCTGTGTCTGCTCATGCTAATCTCACCTTTTCTTTTATCAAGGAGATCAGTGACTGAAACGATAACGCATCAAAGCTCCAGTTTGTCTGTGTTTCCAACCTGTTTATGATTATGTGACTTTTATTACTGATACTACTCATGTTACTGTATGCCCCCCGCTATCTTAACCACCCTGAAGTGCTGTGTCGGGAATGCTGCTGTGTGTGCGTGTGTGTGCGTGCGTGTGTGTGTGTGCGTGTGTGTTAATGGTGTATTCCAATTGGTTGGAAAAGAAAAGGGAAATGAGAAAAGAAAAGTAATTTTACTGAGTGTATTCCTTGGAAATAAGACGTATTTACATGACTAACCTTTGCAAAGGATGGTGTTGTGATTGTGATTTAAAGGGAAAAGCATGGGATCTCAAGGGAGGGTTAGGGGTTATTTATTTCCTATTGTACTGTATGTATTGCAAGGTGTGTTTGGGAGGATAATGTATTAAAAATATAAGGGATTTTTTCAGTCTCAGTGAAAAAGGAGCAGATAAGACACTGTGAGGAAATGGGCTTGGAAATGGTTTAATTGTGCACTGGGAATACCGACAGTTATCACTGCTTTATGTGTATGTGTGTGTTCTTGGACTGAAAATGAAGTCACCGCTCTGTCAACATCACCTGACAATGCAGCACTGCAGGTAGACGGCAGCATCCCTCATGTGTTACACCTCTAGAGGACAAAAACAGTGTTTCCCCACATCAGATACCCAGGGGGAATACTTCAATAACATGGAAAAATACAGTGTAATATCAAAACACAGTCCAATTAAATGTCTAATTTGGCCAAGATAAAGTTTCTAAACTATAGTTTATATATCAACAAGAATTTCAGTCTTTGCCCTGAAGATAGTTATAGTTTGCTGCCTTTCACACCAGATAATTGAGTTAAAGTAATTTTCCTTAAGGTGAAATTGTCTGTTGTCTATCTGTGCTGCATTCAGGGCCTAGCCAGGATTTTAGAAAACCTGAGGTCATGAGTCTGAGACCCTCAGCCTCTAACCCGATTCTCAGGTTCCAGAATTTTTTTTTTCTGTAATTTTTTTTATTATTATAATTTGGATATTTCACACGTTGTTTATTGGTCAATTATACGATCTATACATTTTAATTCCAAATGTGGTCTACATCTAAAAACTTTTTTGAAGCATTTTCCACACTGCAAGAAATTAAAAATGAATTCTAAATATATTTTTGGGCATTGTTATGCCTTTATTCGACAGATGTGTAGAATGAGACATGACAAGAAAAGAAATGGGGATGTCATGTAACAAAGGTCCCTGGCCAGACATGGCGGTTCATGGTCAGCACCTTAAACCCTGGGCCACCAGGACACCAAATGAATACAATAATGGTGGGGAAATACTAAATTATCTACTTATTTGACCAGAAAGTTAAGAAAAGAAAGTGTCCCTTCACTAACATAGAAAAAAACATTAAGTATGTGACCTCAGTGTTTTTAATTGTGGCTATGGTCCTGACTACATACACACAACCCACTGGGATCCTGCCTATAGAGTTAGAATAAGCAGAACTCACTCAGAGGTTCCAGTTTAAACTTTTGATTATTTTAGTTTCGGCTAAAACGAGTGCAAAACTATAGGTCAAGTTTATAAGCCATAATTAATGAGGAACCTGGAGCTGCCTGTTCTAATTATTCTACGTCTATGGTTCTGTCTGTCACTGATATTACACTGAGTAGGAGGAAGTTGCCCCATGATTGGTAGAATGTGATCAGTGTGTTTGCTAAAGACAACAATAAACTGAAGTTAGATTTTGAAGTATCTGATCACAAATCTGTCTTCAAGGGCAACTTCATCACAAAGGGTCCTGTTATCAGCCGCAGGCGGCCAGAGTGGGGCCCCTTCTTATGTTATGCTTATTATCATCATTATATAGTAAAACATTGTGCTTGTTAAAAAAAAAAAAGAGAAAGAGAGAGATATGTGTGTTATTCTTTTTTATTTGTAACTGGCTTTACAAAATTATGCTTTAATAAATTATTGGAAATTGTCCTCTATTTGCTGTTTTGTGTGTGCATCTATTTTGAAAATTAAATTTACTCAAGTTCTGTAGCCTACTTAATCAAAATTTTGAGTTATTTAATTTAGGCTAATTAGGTACATCCATTTAAAGCTATTTTACCCTTGCACTCTCTTCTATCTCTCCAGGAGAAAGCAAGCATACTCTTAATATTTATATAAAAACATGATGAGTTTGTAAAATACACTAAATCTGCTTGTTTATGGCTCATTATAAAATAGCTGCTTGTTATTAGCAGTTCCATGAAGGAGACTGTTCAGCTCTAAACTTCTCAGATGGTTTCATTTAAATATTTGCTTGAGGCCCCAACGATCAAACTTTAAATAAAAGTCTCCAAAAGTTAAACAATGTTATGCAACAGAACTATTCTTCTTTCCGATTCATATAATCACCTTATGACCCCTCAGATTTATCTTGAGGTTTTTGTGTAAAATGAAATGAAGCACTTATTAAAGCTAGTGGAGTAAAAAGTACGATATTTCCCTCTGAAGTGTAGTGGAGTAACATTAATTAAAGTATCTGAGCATTTCCTTCAACACTGCTGACAAGAAAATTATGCAGAGACGCACACTGGCGCTTTCCCCTCCTATTGCTTTTGATGCGTAACTAATGCGTCAGGATTTTTGCGTCGTGTTCCTTCTCGGCAACTTCACTCCTCGACTTTCAGCCAACGGCCGGTCGCAGCCAAAACATTTCCTACTTTTAACGCTCCCAGGTTTCTCAACGCTTCTCGGACGTACAACCTGGGAACCAAAAACATCTGGAATAATCAGCGTCTGAGTGGTCGGATGATGGATTTGCGGATTTTACTCCCAGCTCTCCTGCTTGTTTTCGGTTTGGCGACAGTTTTCGCCCAGTCTTCCGCACCTGACAAAGGTGGGAGTGGAAACCAGTAGCTCTGTGGTGATTGAGGAATTTATGGCAGCTGAAATGATTGTCTAACATTGTTTTAATCGCGTCTAGTTGCCTGGTTATTTTTCTTTTAAAAATCACATGTAAACAGGGGAGTAAAACCCTTCACTTGATTTTTGAGACCATTTTTAGCTCTGGATTACCATGACTTGTTCAACCTCTATTTATTACAGCATTCTTTTTACCTTATCTTGTGTCTAACAATTTCTGTTGACTAATGGGAACATGAGAGGACATAAAACAGCAACAAAATAACTTTATTTGAGGTGTTGAGTCTTGTTTGTATTTTCTGGCGTCAGATCATATATCATAGAACAATGTAGCCAATCTTGACTAAAGGCTATGTTTCATCTCATAAAGCTAAACTTAAAAGCAAGATCAACAGTGATATTGGTGATATCTCTGTACCTCTGTTAGTTTCATATCTTTGTGTATTTTTGAAACCTCTCAGCAGGAACAGTCTCTTTTCAGTTCTTGTTCAACCCCCCTCAGGAACTTAAACCAGCAGAAGTAAACAAGCCGACCACATAAGAATGAAACCTTGTTTGTTTACACCTCCATTTTACAGATACATGATACACTGACAAACCCAGCTATTGTCCCATGTAGTCTGCTGATGATAATATGACTAGTCTGAAGCCTGTGTGTTTACTCTGTCCTGTCTCCATGGAAAATGTACCAGGAGGATTAGCAGTAGTTACAAAAACCACAGTGAGCACAAACCTGCAGGCCCCATTTAATCTGCTCCTTGAAGGGTTTTCTGCCAATCTCTCTTTTGTTAAAGTCACTTGTACTTTTCCTTGTGAGGCAAAATGTGTGTGCACCTCATGTTGACTGTGTGTACACTTCTTTGTAGATTATCATGAGTGTCTTAAGTAAACTAACTAACTTTTTTTTTAATTCCACAGCGTGTGAGGCAAAGAACGGGACAAGCTGTGAGGAATGCCTGAAAAATGTGACGGTAAGAAAGCCTTTTGTTCCTGCTGGGTTGATTTAATTGTGGGTTTACATTGTTGTGTGTGTGTGTGTGTGTGTGTGTGTGTGTCTGTGTGTGTCTGTGTAATGGAAAAAGAGGTGTCCCAGGTGGAGGAACTACAGCCAGTGGCTCCTCCTCCACCTCCACACCTGTTAGACTGGTTTGAGGAGAAACTGATCTCTCATCCATCCACACCCTCCTCCGCCATTTTCTGCTTTTTTTGTGTGCATGCATGCCCTACAGTGTATCCTGCGGATGACCTGAATACCCCAAGATTCATTGTTTGTTTACATAATAAAGGAATCATTTTGTGTGTGCTTTTTTTTTTTTTTTTTTTTTACAGTGTTTGTGGTGTATTACAACCAAGACTTGTATGACATATCCAGTGAGGACCATCCTTCCACCCCATGCTCTCTGCCCACTGAATGATGCACGGTGGGGGCTCTGCTGGAGTAAGAGAGAACACACACACACACACACACACACACACACACACACACACACACACACACACACACACACACACACACACACAAAGTAAAGAAAAGTGTGCAGGAGATGTAGAATGTTAAAAGACCTCTCCTAAAAACTCAATAAATAGAATTATATTAAATAAAATTACTCTATCACATCCCTACTGCAACTCCAATGAGCTCTTTAATACATTTTTCTATTGTTCATTTTAGGCAGGTTAGGCATTTGTGCTCAGTTACTGATAATTATAATCAATTAAACACAGTTTTGCTTTTACTGAACCAAATATTTGGTGAGTTACTCAGCTACATTCCTCTGATGTAGGATTGCCAGTGATGATTATTTTCATTATCAGTAAATTAATCAATCTATTAAAAGTCAGAAAACCGTGAAAAAAAATGTTCATCCCCATTTTCTAAAGCTCAAGATGACGACTTCAGATGTCCTGTTTTGACCAGTTGTTCAAAACCTTAAGATAATCAATTTAGAAACAGAAAAAAGCTGTTTCCATGTGATTTCAGTGTGTACTGATCACACATAAGCCAGCACAGTTTTGTGGGTAATGAGAAGGTGAAAAACAGTGTGTGTTTGTTTGGGAGTAACCTGGTCCTAACTGATTTCAGGTAGCCTATCTACAGACTGTATAATTTAGGTATAAGCATTTATTTTGCTTCAGATATGAACATATCACATTTTTATTAAAACTAATGAATTGTTCCACTTCTTAAATTTATTTATTTTTTCGCTGTATGTCTTTTGCCAAAACACACAGCTCTTTTAACTCACAGTAGTCACTGATCATGCTCCACCAACAAGGAGCAATGAAATCAAATGACCTCTAAATCAGTCGCTGTTCAGGGCAGAAATAAGACAAACATTTAAAGGAGCTATTTTCAAGTTGTGCTATTGCTACCTAGCCAACGTTAGCATTAATGTTGCTGATCAGTCTAGAGCAAATGTTGAGAGGTCAGCATCAAACTTCATTCTTTTACTCACCAAGAACTGCCTTCAGCAGTTTTGATTCTATTTCTATCACTTCTTCTCTTCTACTAAAGTTAGCATGCTAACCAGCTAGCTCTTCTCACTTCCTGATACCGAGTCACTGTAGCATCCAGTCTGCCCTGGAGAAGTAGTGCTCTTCAGAGGGCATATTATAACCTCTTGTATTGTAAACACAATAATGGCTGAAGCTCTTGGCAAGACTGGTAAGTAAACAGCTGTTCATGCTAATGTTGGCTAAGTATAGCAAAACTTACAAATAGCTCCTTTTAAAAAATACCAATCCTTACTGCATGCAAGCTAAATTGTTCTATTGTGAAGGTATCTCCATGACTGTGGAATCCTGCATTACTTTGTGTTTCTATCTCTGTTTGTAGTGAACTTCCAGATACTGATTATCACCTTGGCAGTGGTTGGCGGAGTTATCATCATCGCCTTCCTAGTCTGTTTGTTCTGCTGCTGCAAGTGTGAGAACTTTGGGTAAGTGTGCAGTGAGCTGTAGTTAACCTTGTTCAACTGAACAGGTACACTATCATCGTCCACAACATGATCCTGAGTGAATAAACTGCTGTACTTTTGGATCATTTCAACGATGCTACCAATACTTGTGTTCAAAGGGTTAAGACACATCCTGGACACGTGAAGAAATTTTAAGAAATGATTTTAAAAGGTTTAGGTTTAGATTAATTTAATCTTTAATTTCATCAAGTTGTTTTGTTTCTGCTGTTGTTTATGGCACCTGTATTTATAAGGTACTTACATAATGAACTTTACTTATAGGAAAAGGCTCACACATTACTTAATATGTTTTGTTACTAAATGACTATTTACTGTAACCTCTCTGTTACAGAGTATAATTTCCTGGCTTCTTTTCATTATACCTGAGACATGAACAAAATAATACAATACACATGTCCAGTAACTATGGTATAACAATAACAAAAACAGTTCAATTATTATTATTAAATACCAACTTTTCTTGGAAGTGTATTTGAATGATGTACATCAGGGTTTCATTTGTGTTCCTACAAACATTACAGTGAGATATGCCAGAATGCACAGATTATCACGAGTCTGCAGTGGGTGCTCGTAGTGGGTTGTGAAGTTGTTTCCTGAAAGGAAGAAACTACAAGGACAAACACATTGAAAAAAGCCTGATCAACACAGATAGCCCACAACCACTTTGGTCGGTTGAATAGGGACCATGTTACCTTCAGGGTGGTTTGTAGATTGAAAGGAGTTGGTTTCGTCATAGGATATTTTTATCTGTGGCTTATCAGTGATCCTTGTTTAACGTCTCCGAGCTGCCTGGAGAAAAACTTACATTTAGACTACATATTACAGGTATAGAGGGTTTAAGTATAAGAATGAAAATGGGTATAAAATGGTTAAGGCCAGGCTAAGAACCACGGGAAGACTACCTTTGTCAATCAACCATGTGGCTTTCTTCATATTAAATTCATTACAAGGTAATTATGATCAGTGTGTGTTGAGCCCAACACTGAGCATTTCTGTTGGCTTTAGAGTGATTACCTCAAGGTCTCTGTACTTACGCGCGTGCGTGCACACACACACACACACACACACACACACACACACACACACACACACACACACCACACACACACCCACACACACACACACACACACACACACACACACACACACACACACACACACACACACACACACACATGCTGTGTGCTTTCCCATGACCTAACTAAACATAATCTAACTTTGGTCTTGTGTTTGTGTGTCAGATCCACAAGGTTTGAGGCCAAGATGGAGAGACAGGCCAATAAGATGAAAACCAAGCAGGAAGAAAGGTGAGGAGCATTGTTCTGTGCATGCAACATTGACTGTTTAACACTGTTTCAAGACTTAATTCTCCAACAGTGTGGCCATGTGCTGTTGAGCAAAACTGACAGTGAAACAATGCAATTTGACCCTTTACCCTTGTCACGACCTTCTCCTAGCTAACCCATCTCAAAAACACTACAGGTGTGTCCACACCAGGGCTATACACATCACAGGGACAGTTTCTACCCACAGAGCTTGAACAAAAAACTCAGACTTCCTCACCGAAATTGTTTTGCCCTGATGTGTATTTCCTGCTTTAATTATATTTCCACATACACAAGCCCTCCAGTCTGTTTGCAGCATGTCCCCACAGCACTGTAGCCTGCTACGTTTGTCAGCAGTAAACTGTAATTACCAACTTACTGACAATATCGCTGTGTGGAAATTAGTTTGCTCAAAAATGGGTTTATGCAGATCTTAGGGTGCATTTTACTACTCCCCTGTGTTACTGCTCTCAGGTAGCCTCTTAATAGCCTCAATATTTGTGTTTGTTTGATGGTTTACAGTCGACAGTACACCTGATGAACCAACTGTCCCTGCTGCATTGTTGGTCACGATCCATATCAGTTTCCTTCATTGCACAACACAAAAGCAACACCAATAAGGGAAAATGCACACGTCATACTGTTATCAGCTCAGACTGGTTTGTGGCCTCATGACTTTTGGGAGTGTTTGAGAGTGTGAAAAAATATCATGAGTCAGTGTGCGGCTCATAAGAGAGTGTTTTGTCCTTACAGGAGGACAGAGATGAAACAGAGACACGACGAAATCAGGAAGAAATATGGTGAGATCCCGATTTTGCTTTTGACACACTTTTTCTTAATTTCTCTCTCTTTTTCACACGTGTATACTAACATAGTGGAAATGCATGTTTTACTGTTCCTTTTAAAAGAAAAGCTAATTGGGGACGTATGATAGGAGAATTAATTCAAAACTACAAAATGATATAGATTTAGATATTTAATCTTTTTTTTCTTTTAATTATGACATTTCTTGTTAAGTTTTAGCTGTGAATGCAGAGCTTTATCATCTTACTCTCAGCAAAAAACAATTTCCCAAATGTGAAACAATTCCTTTAAATCAATGCAAAACTTCAATGATTGTTTTATGTTTCTCTAGGTCTAAGTGGGCAAAACCCTTACTCCAGGTTTGCATGAGAGTACCAGTGAACTGACATTTTGCACCATGAACCTTTTATTTTTCCTGGACCTCTGATGGCTACGTAAACTATTAAGAAAAGTGACAGTAGTTTTGTACAGACAGCCTCTAGTGTCATTGAGCCAATGAACAGGAATGTTATGTTCACTGTAATGATCCAAGAGGCTGTAACCATAGGCTAGAATAGACCCATGTAGCAGCAGTGTTCTTCAAGACTACAGTGGTCTATCATGTGACTCCTGTAGCATCAGTCTACTCATACTATCTATTAGGTTGAGTATAATTGTACATTATGGAAAGATTCCTCTTTGGTAGCTGAACAAATTTTTTTCCTTTGCTTAAGAAAATCTGTTGCATCTGTAAACCTGCTCTGGGTTGCTGCTGAGATTAGAGATCTAGTTGATAGTGATAATCTATTTTTGTACTTGGTGTAATTTGTCTTGTTTCTTGTTTCAAAATGACTCATTCCTATTCTAAAATGTACATGTTGAAAAGGCAATTTCGTTGTGTTATTGCTGTATGTTCCACTCATAGATGGACTCATGTTTTTTTTTTGTAACATACTAGGTTCAGAAAATACGGTCATTCTATGGCATCAAAATGAAATCTTCATCCTTGCACTCTGAATTAATAAAGAAATAATTAAGTTAAGTTGAATGTGTTGATCTTTAAGTTGAATTGAATCAGTCTAAATTACCTGTATAACCTGTAAAGACACAAACGCCTAATAAAAGACTTTAAACTCATAATTAATTCTGCCAGTGGCAGTGGACTTTTGTTGTGTTTGTGTATTGCCTGCATCGTGCTTTCATTAAAATGAAAGCTCTTATATTAATATTTTGTATCTTTTGTGATAGGAGTTTTTTTCTGAATTTTTAAAAATCAAAGATAATTGATTAAAAGATTGAAGAATGTCAGTAGGGTAGAGCTGAAATATGCCTAACTTTTAGCAGGTTTCTTCAGAACAAAGGTTCATAGGCTGAAGGCTGACAACTTTGCGAGTTAAAGATGATTTTTATTTTCCCCACTCCAGATGTTTGGGATATTTTATCTCAGAAACTAAATCTGACATAAGAAAATACAACTACCAAAAATTACCAAGGCAATGATGGGTTTATAAAATATTTGACATTTCTGAGTTACATTGTATAGTATTTGTAAAGACGCAACTGCAAATACCATCAAGCAATTACCATGCAACTGATATGAACATGTTCTATGACTGAAAGAGAATATATAACCCATTAAATTGATTAGTAATGACTCTAAAATAGCATTTTTTTTTTACATTTATCAATTTAAATGCATCGATGTGAATTCAGATTAATTCTAGTCAGGTTGGACAAATTCCAGTATTGTTCAACACAGTTTCCGATGCAAACCACTCTGTTTGTTTGGTTTTGGACATTACATCCATGCAGCAAGCAAAGCATTATATGGTCGTAATGTTTGACTTAAATTACCTTTTTGAACCACAGTAAAAGTGTTATATACTTGTTCTCAGTTACCTTTGGTTATTTATAAAGTGAATTCATATTTCTTACAGATATATGCCCAAATGTTTGAGGTTTTGATACAGTTCATTAGTTCCAATTCTTCAATTCGCGTGATCGAGGATTTTACGTTGATGCGCGCCCCCGTATCCGCGCTCCCGCGGTTTAGAAGTCACATGGTCTTCTCTCATCCAATGGTTTATTTGCGACTGCGGTCCTAAGCGCGCACCCGTCAGTGGAGGAGACGAGAGGACAGAAGGCGGCAGAAAGACCCAATAACCCTCAATTAACCGATTATTCTGAAAACCGTGACACGAAATCCAGCCGAGATGTCAGAGGAAAAGCCAAAGGTAAGATATTAAGGCTCACTGAGTTGTGGGTTTGCAGTGATGGCTCAGTCGAGTTCCTGCCAAACCATTTCTCAGATGTGCAATCTAAAATGGCCTGGTTTGCACGTTTCTCTGAATCGGCGCAGTGTTTGTTTCGCAAATGAATGAGAACCCGCACATCGATATTTACACTTAGATGCGCTTACCCAACACACTGTGGATGGAAATTGAAGAGGTTGTGTCCCACTAACGAGGGTCTCGAGGATTGTGGGCAGAAATGTCAATTACAGCATGATTGTTATTTGCGGATTTTTTCTTTGTCGAAACGGGACCACGTTATGTCCGCAACGCAGCAAATGCCGCAACTGCAGCAGCTACAAAGAGGCGCTAATGGAGGTGACGCACTAATTTAAAAACTAATACAGTCCTGTTGTTTTTGCTGCGTTTAATGTGTCGGTGTTTGTTTGGCCACAGCACAACAAAACAAAATAGCTAGCAGCGTTAGCCGGCAGCTAAACTTAGCAGCAGTACTGAAGGGCTGGCGTGCCGACCACCTAGCCTGGAGCTAATCATGCTAACGTTAGCATTCTATGACTGCTCGGGAAGCAACATATTGTAACCTGCCTCCATTATTAAGCCTCGTGCAAGTTTGTTTTGGTTAAAACATCTTTAAAGTAGTGTTGCATTATTCCTTCACCACACATTGAAGTTGCACTCGCCTTTTATTGTGAAATTACTTTTAAAGTAGCAGACTGTGTGCAGCTTATAGTCTGGTAACTTACTTGATTGGTATATGTCTCTCATAGCAGTACTGTTACCTGTATTGTATCTGTGACTTCAGTATAAACCCCTTGTTGTAATGTTTGTGGTATCTCTGTGACTTGTAATCTGCTGGTTTAACTCCTGTTAAACACGTTTGTCTCTGCAGGAGGGAGTAAAGACTGAGAATGATCACATCAACCTCAAGGTTGCAGGGCAAGATGGGTCGGTGGTCCAGTTTAAAATCAAAAGACACACACCACTCAGCAAACTAATGAAGGCGTACTGTGAACGACAGGTGAGCTGAAAGCCCAAATGACTGCTTTTGAATCTCTACCTCTCTAGCAACACGCAGTTGTTGTGGATTTGCTGTAATGACCCCTTCAGCCTCTCCATTAGCTGTGCACTTCACTATGCTATTCCTGTACTAAAAATCCTCAGCACATGCTCTTCATGTCTGTTGTCTTGCTCCTACAGGGTCTCTCAATAAGGCAGATCAGGTTCAGGTTTGATGGCCAGCCTATCAATGAGACGGATACACCTGCACAGGTATGATCTATTCACCATTATATTCTCTTTGAACATCACTGATGTCGTATGTTTATGTGATGGTAACACATTACAGAAGCCTGCCATTATTGGAGGGAATTACCTAGTGAAATATTCGGTTTAAACATCGCAAGCAAAATTCAGGCATTCAGTGTCTTTAGATAGCCTTAAGTTATTACGTATAATATTTTAACCCCTGCATCATTTTAGCTGTTTGGTTATTTCTATTAACTGTGAACCTCTGCTCCCCTCAGCTGGAGATGGAAGATGAAGACACCATAGATGTTTTCCAGCAGCAGACGGGCGGGCACTGCTAAGTCCTCCCCACCTCATTGACGGCCACCCTCAGACCACGCCCTAAGCCACCTTCACTGTCCCTCCCCTCCTCATTGCCCCTCTCAGCCTATTATTATTATTATTATTATTATTATTATTATTATTATTATTATTATTATTATTATTCCTTAAGTTTAAAGATGTCTGTCATGGTTTTTCGTCAGGTGTGGGGGGGCGGCTCCTCAGCTGTTTATGTACTGTCTCAGCCAGGACTGAACTTTTGTGCTTGTCAACAGTCTCTCTGCTGGCCAATCAGGACAACAATTTCCTTCTGGCACTGCAGGCTGTGATTGGACCAACAGCACGCCACAGCTGCTCCTGGTTTGTCAGTGCTTCTCATTCACTCTCCAGTGAAAGCTTAGTATCAAGTAGTTTGTCACGGTTTTCATCCAGCGGGGTCGAATGCGGGGCTCTGCAAGTTTTTTTTTTTTTTTTTGCCCAGGGGTCACAGTCAGTGGGCATGAAAATGCTTTTGAAGTGGAAGCACGATCTGAACTTAATACACACCCGCCTTCCATTTCACTTCGCTATCATGTGTGTTTTTTGTCTGAACAGTGACTCCTGCTCTTCTGTCAAAAATGTATTTTAATTCTCTCCACCTTTTAGGTGCTTTTGCTAAAGAGTTCTTCAATGTTTTTGTAATTTTGTTTCTTCTTTTAAAAAATTAACACCCCAGGGACTTGGGATTGTTGGTTTTTTTTTTTTTTTTCTTTTTCTGTACAGAAGTATCAGAGTGGATGTTAGATAAATGTTGTGGGGCTTGGACCAATACTCCAAAGACCGAACTTCTGTTTCATATTTGCTGTATTTGGATCACTCTAAATGCAAACTATAAGGTCAAAACTGTCAGATTTTAAGGGAGTTTGTATTTCATTAATGTTATTTGCTTCTTTGACTGCTACTAATTGGGAAAGATTCTTTTGGGGGTGTCTTCCGTACAGACCAATATTCGGTAATCGCCCGTTAAGGGTGAAATTTCATTTACACCACTGTGGTGCATCCTTATTCGGGGTTAGTTGGGGTCTGGTTGTATAAGGATAATCTTGATGTGGAATACATAACTTTTGGTTTTCTTTCCCTATTTTCTGAAGAAGTGGGCCAGTGATTGGTCCCTAAAGTATTCTTACAAGCTACTCTGCTTGTGGGTTTTCAGGGTGGGCTGTGGGTGGGAGTGACTGGGAGATTGTTCCTTAGTGTTGTTTTGGGGTCAGCTGTCTCATCTCTGTATTGTCCTTGCGAATGTAGGCTGATGGGACAACTGATTCTACATGTGCTTTGAAGAGGAGCAGCCTCCAGTATGAGCAAGGATATCCAACAAAAGTCAGTATGCGTTTTGTCATGCATTTTGAAGACACTTTTCTCTGCTTTATCAACTGTTGAGATAATGTTTTCTGATGTGCACAAGGCAGAAGTTGCAGGCCATTTCTTTTCAACACCTTTTTAACTGCAGTTTTGAAAACTGAAGCTATCTCAAGTGGTGATGAATGTCTCAAATATTTTGCAGTTAAGAGGAGGATGCATGCTGTTTGCATATTGGGAGGGCAGGGAGGTCAACTGATGGAGTTTGGGAGATAAGTGTTCTGTACCCACAGGGCCCCGTTCTTCATACATTGATAACTAAGTTGGCTTGATTTGATTGTTGATGGTCTGACTTGAGCTTGGAGTTTTTCAGTTCAGTCAGGATTAAAATGACAGTCCCTTAGCTCAAAACCTGCAAAAGCGCAAGCTCCTTCATAGTGAGTTGAATCATGACAACCCTTTTTTAAGTTTACCAATTTTATTTTCACATAAGTCTGCACCATTCTTTAAAAGCACCAATCCATCAGTATTGTTATAGCAGAAGAGGTTTTAAGTTAAATAGTCATACACAGTACAACAAAATAAAACCAGTGCAATTGAGAAGAAAACAATTCAGAATGTTGTTTGGTGCAGTATGAACCAGAGCAAAGGACCGTTTTTAACTTTGATATATTGTGAACATAATGCAGACTGTATTTTGAGGAGTTGTGACTGGCCTTGTGAATTTCACCTCATTTTAATCTTTCAAATATGTTCCCATATCTTTAAATGTAGTTGTAGTACAGTTATCAAGACAAACAAATCAGCCTTCCACTTGCATCCGAAGAAGTAAGTTAGCTGGAGAAAAATCTTATGAGCTGGCTAACATGAGCTAAACTTTGTAATGTTTGAAGAACGGGGCCCAGGTCTTGTCATGTTATTTGTTTCTCTACTGATTTGTACATTGTTTGTGGTCTTTTACTACTGTATACAATAAATATAGTTTGGTACTCAGATTTGCTGTCTTAAGCTTCATTATTTTATGTTTGTCTATTCAAAAATGGGTCAAGTACTTAAATATGTAATATTCCACAACTATCACGAGATATTTTTTAAGATGTGGAGGGAGGTAATGAGGTAATGAAGTTGTTAAGCTATATTGTTTCATTAATTTCAAAAGGGAAAGAACACAGCACCAACTTCAACATCAGCTGTACCCCTGCCTTCTCAAAATATATGTAAGTACTATGGAAGGAAACTTTAACGTGGCCTGAATAGTACACTAGTAGTAGAATAGTGGTAGAAGACAGCTAGGTGGTGCCACTGAACCATTATAAGGTCTCTGGTTTGATCTTATTTTATCATTAAAAAAACCTACACATTACACACTAGTATAAATACCCACAACACCAAAACAAACAAGCAGATTCATTCCAACATGAAACATGGACACGTGGAAACACGCAACACAACAAAACTAAAAAGCATCACGTATAAAATTGAAGCATGATGCAGGAAAAAAAACACCAAAAGGTAAAATAACCAGTTTCTATAGTAGTCCTGAAACTCAAATGTACTTAGGACTTCATTTAAAGACCAAACTAAATGAAAACAGGTTAAACATTAAATGTATGTTCATATATCAAACCAAGTCAGATAATTATTTTAAACAGTGTATTAACTTCCAGGGTGACCTGGATCGCCTGAGGCCTGATGCTAAACCTTAGATCTGATCTGATAAAGTGACTGAATAGTTGCATTCAGTACAACTGAAACAGTGATAAGATTTAACAGAGGCTGATGAGTCAAACCAGGAATAAGGAAAATCGGGTGCCAATCTACATCAACTTTTCTGCATCTAAACAGATCCATCTGAAACCACACAGGAGAATGTCACACCCACTCACTGCCGTGCCTGGAAGGAAGAAAGATTAATGAATGGATAGAGGAAAAGAAGGACAGGGCAGAGTTGGTATCTTGTATCCTGGTCTATGTGCAGTCTATGATATTAATGTGGGCGAGAGGAAGAGAGACGGAGTGCATTTGACTTGTAAATATGCCGGTCGGTGGATGAGACGATTCTGAGAGATCTGACACAAGCTGAGATGCCGCTGTTTCTGAAAACACAGTTTGATTATTTAGCGAGTGCCTAGTAACCAACAACCAGAGGTCAAATATTCTATGAAGTTGTTAGGACTATTAATCTGTTGGGTGACCACAGACAATTATAAGTCTAAGAGCTATAGATACTGCACACAGCAGGTTAAAGTAAATGCAAATACTATTATTTACAAATACTATTTGACCAAGGCCCTCTTAGTACTTATACCATACCATTGCAGTATTTGTATAATTTAATGTTTTCCTAATTTCAAATATATAACTGAGTCCACTTAGCATTTGATTTCACTGTCCAGAGACTTCATTGCATTTTCAGTAAGTAATATTTGCAAATCTTTTAGGAAAACAACCAGGTTTAAGACTTTAATATCACAGCTGAGTTCATGCACATACCTCGGTTTCTCAGCTAATAAACTATGGGATAACAGCTAATATGATAATAGCTGAGCTCATATCCATCTATGCATTAGTGGACCAAAGGTCACAGATGTTCTGCTGTTGTTTTAAATTTGCCTTTTAATGAAAAAAAAAATATGGCTGCTAAGGCCCCTTTCGCATACTGCATGTCTGGAGGAATTTGTCTTTTGACATATTTTCAATACTATTACATTAAAATATTCTCTCTGTCTGCTTGTCTGTCATAAGTGAGCATGCACACACACACTCACACACACACTCACACACACACACACAATGGAGCAGCTCACCCCTCTGGCAGGTCTGTGTCATCAGAGGCGGTTGTGGGAGGATGAGTGACGGGCTGTTTAGTGATTTGCATGGCTCCGGTGTTTAAAAGGAGCTGCAGGTGCAGGATTCTCCACACAGATGAATGGAATTCTCTCCAAGCACAGATCCTCTACTACTAGTATTGAAGTACATGAGAAGCTTAGGTAGCCAGTATAGCTTTGATGATTTTCAACAGAATTTGTTGAATAGACATTTTTCTTTGGGGCTGGAAGATTTGAAAACGCCCATTTAGGTCAATATGAAGAATACACAATCGTCTGGTGTGTATTGTCACTTAACATAGAGACAAAAGGGGGAAAAGACATAGAGAGATACCTTCAGTATGGAGACATTCGTATCGACTGGCAACTGAACCAAACAGGCTTTTTGAAATGTCATCATTGATATTTGTGCAGCTCCTTCTCCTGGGGTTAAGGGTCATCAGCACCACAACAGACACATGGAGACACTGTACAGGTATTGTACCATTTTATCCTATTTCATCTCTCCCAACCTCAGCTTTACTCTCTGTTACCTCAGCCCAGTTCAAAACATGTGATGTTCAGCTAATGATTATTCGGTGATTTACAGTTTCATCTAAAAACCTGGGAAACCCCCCCCAGCTAAAATTCTTTTGGATAATTCTAACTGTCTGCATCTGCTTACAGCACGGTGGGAGTGCTTGTGGGTGAAGTACTGCAAGCAATACTAACTTAAATTAACGTCCAAAAACATGTACAGACATTGGATGTGGTTGGGATTCCACAACTGTTCTATACACATCAGAAGATCGATACTACCAGGGCGCAGGTTCATATGATGTCTTCACACTTTCCAATAACAACCCGTATTAAAACCTCCTGTAGCTTCACCACCACCCAGGGCTATTTCTCACACACCGGGGGGGGGGGCATGCTATGTCATTAATTGATTTATTAGTTTATAGCAGTTGTTCTCAACCTCTTCAACTCGCGTCCCCTTAAAACAAAGCTGCTGTATGTCTATTTGAGACACCTTGGTTTAATATGATGAATATTAACCTATGAGCAGTGGTAGAAGAAGTCTCAAGTAAAAGTATGTAATACTAATACTAATACTCGTTGAGAAGTACAAGTATGTAAACGCAGTCAGGAAGATGCACTTAAAGTATTAAAAGTTAAAGTACTCAATGAAAGAAGTGGTCCCAAAGTGAAACCTTCCTTTATCACAACCAATAGACCAAATCTCAATCTTCTTATTAAAAATGAATTGAATTTACAAGGAAGAGCAGCAAACTGTCACATTAGAAAAGCTGGAACCTTGAAATATTTGGTGTTTTTGCATGATCAAAGTGTCAATCAATTTATTTCTTTTGTTCAACTAATCCACTTGTATAAAATATCTGGTGGTTTAATTTATAACAACATATCATATTTTATCATATTTCATTATTTTTCATATTCGTTTCGTCTGCAAAAATCTTACTGTCTTAAGTGACATGTAACTCATGCCATCAATTAACTGCTGTGGAGTAAAGTATATATATAGTAAAGTATTATTAATCACCTCAGGACCCTCAGATTTATTTTGCGACCTCTGCAGGGGGTCCCGACCCTCAGGTTAGGAACCACTGGTTTATAGCATAGCAGTTTCCGCGTCTTCCTGACCTCTTTATTTTCTTATTGTTTGCAGATTTGCTTCCTCTGGATCTCCTGTCTTTTGTCCTCGAGAGGGACACCTCCAAACTTGTGCCCGGGGTGCACATGAAGCAGGCTGGAGGGGTGAGGGGTGTACATTTCTCCAGCCCTCATACTGTCTTGAGCTTTCCCTCCTCCCAGCTGCTGGTGAATTGTGACCTCTTCCCAAAAGAATTCTCCATTGTTGTGACTCTAAAAGTCACTCACGCTGCATCCACGGTGAGCAAGAAGCACCAAGATCTTTTACTTGTATATATGAAAATACTCTGTTACAAGTAAAGGTCCTGCACTCAAATCGTTACTTAAAGTACAGAAGTAAAGCTTATAAACTTGTTATAGATTTTTGAACTCTTAAACTGGAAAGTAACTTGTAACTGTAGCTGTCAAATGAGTAGTGAAGTAAAAAGTACAATATATATTCGCTTCTGATATGTAGTTGAGCAGAAGTAAAAAGTAACATGAAATTAAAATATGCAAATACGGTTGTGTCTAAAACTTTTTCTCATTATTAATTGATCTGCAGATTATTTTGACAATTAGTCCATAAAATGCTAAAAAAGTGTTTTTGGTTTGAAAATTTGAAAATAAACATTTAACTTTCTGTGATTTATTATTGCAGCTCTAAATACAAGTACCTCACGTTTTACTTAAGCACAGTATTTGAGTAAATATATTCTATTACTTTCCACTCCTGCCGAATACAGTGTGCCTTAATGTTTTTCCTATTTGTTGTACAGAGGAATGAATACATCTTTTCACTGATGGAACCAAAAACAGTGGAGAAAAGAGCAGCGGAGGAGAAGGAGAACGATAAAGGAGATGTTTTGGAAAGCAACAAAAAGAGGGGTGTCAGTGGAGAAGAACAAGATGGAGAGGAGGAGAAGAAGAAGGAGGAGGAGAAGCAAGGCAAAAGTAATGAGGAACATGGACGGATCATCCTGGGACTGAGGTTTTCGAGAAAATATCTGCACTTCCTTTTTAAAGGTCACGGAGGGGTCGTAGAGCACTGGGTGTTTCGAGGCACCCAACTGGCTGATAACCAGTGGCACACTCTGGTTTTAACCATTGGTAGTCGCGTGAGGCTCACAGTGGACTGTAACTCACCAGTGGAAATGTAAGTTCCCTTTTTTTTCCCTTTTTGCTCCTCCTGAGTGCTTCTGTCTGTTTTCTGTTGACTGTCTGCCTCCCACCATCCTCTCTTCCTGTTCCTTTTGAATCCCCCTGAGGGATAGTAGATCCTTCACCACAATACAATGGCACTGCTCCAAATCTGTTCACACCCCTGCAGCCATATCATAGTGGCCTGACAGTATGTGATAGATGGTTTTTAGTGGAAACTCCCTCTGGCGCATAGAAGGGAGGAATATCAGCACCCATACAGTACTTATACGATACAATTCATGTCTCATACTTTTCTGTCTCAGACAACAACAGAAGAATGTGAGAGACTACTTTAATTACATACGCTTCATGTTCATTTACAGAAGAAAAACAACTTACTCCAGCTATTAGAAATAATTATATCTTTTTATGGCAAACAGCGTTCCCTCCACGCCTTTCCCTTCAGACCTTAACATTCAGGGATCCAGATTCCACATTGGCAGTCGGGGGAGATGGAAAGGCTTGTTTTCAGTAAGACATATTTTTCCCCATTATTAACTTTAATCACATTAACAAGAAAATAAACTGCCAAACTATTGTAAACTACAAGGTTAATACATTTTTGTGAAAAACCTTTCTATCTTATGTGCTGCCCACGTACAGGGCCTGCTGCGACAGCTGGTTTTGGTTCCAGGTTCGGATGCCACCCGTCAGATTTGCCCCTCTTCCGACCCCCAACTAGCAGCTCTGTCGGTACCACCGCTTCTCTTAGACCTGCCTGTGATGGGGAGGGATGGTGAAAGCCATGGTAACTAGCATTTTACAAGCCATTTCATACTGTATGGCCTCTCTTCTTTCCTGCATCTTTAATTGTCCGCTTGCCCTTGTGCTTTGATCACGTTCTGTCAGAAACGGAGGAGCCAGTGTCAGTGGGGTTGGAGCGCTCCTGCTCAGAGTTGCAACAAGGCCAGCTGTGGTTCAACCCGCTCAGGAAAGGCCTCTACCTCTGCGACGGTACAGCGTGGATCACTGTACTAGAGGGTGAGAACTGTACATCAACCCATCATGAGCAATTTTCTTCTTGGCTTAGGTCTAACATTGATTAAATTTTCACCTCTCCATCTACTCTAGATCACAAAAGACTGGACTATGTATCTGAACATCAGGTCCTAACCACCAGCTCAGAGACACATGATGTGGAGGTATTCATCCACTTATTTAAAAATGAATGTTTATGTATATCTTTTGTGTCTATATTATTGCTTGAATCCTCACTGTACTTATAGCTGAGGAAACCAAAGGCAGAAAGGAGAAGAAACACATCTTTCTTTTGGGGAGTCTAGTGTTTTTCAAGACAATGGTTTCTAAACCAGGTTGTCAGGGAGCCTACAAGGGGTCACGAAATAGATCTATTTGGTCACAGGATAATTACCACAGTGGGAAATAAGAAAAAAAAAAAACTCAGCTCCAAAAAGTTATGTTTAGTCTTCAGCAAGCTCAGTTTTTTTTCCATGTGAAATATTTTATACTTTTACCACTTCAGGCCTCTAAAATATTCTGAGGAAACAGTCTTAAGTGAGAGGAAAATCACTCTTCACAACTCACAGACGTGTATCCTTGTGACAAACGGTCACAAGCAGGAACTGCTGTTCTAGCTGCTCACTTCTCTTTAGGAGATCACTTGTATCTTGCTCCTCTGTTTCAATGTGACACTATCATCTCTAGGATACACTCTCAATTTTGGACGATATATGACTTTTGCACCTGCCTGGTTTGAATGTTTATATTATAAACTGCGTTGGGCAAAAGCATCGGCCGACTGAATGTAATGTAATTATAAATGTGATTATATGTAGGTAGAGAGGTGCACATTCATGAAATTCACAGGGGCAATCTTGGTCGGCTATGATTGATGTTGTTACAGCCCCACTGTTGGTTGGTCTGATTTCTGTATAAAATCTAGTGTAGTCTTAATTTTCACCATTGTGTGATTTTGTTCTTCCATACAATATGACTGTCTACTAAGTTTAAGATATCAGTATCAGTTTTCTTTTTTCTTTAATCCAATCTTCAGGTTTTCCAGGTACCTGGCATGGGTCTGATGGCTGCCATGGCTCACCGCTCCAAAGCCTCCGGCTCTGCTGTGTATCTGTGGACCCACTCAGGATTCAAGCTCTACCAGAATATTACTACCCATGAAGCCCTGGTTTGGAGACACTTCAACATGGGAAAGAAAGTATGATGAAAAGGAAGTAAAAAAGCATTGGAGAGATCACACTACAGTAGAAATAAGCTTTGAAGCCATATTCCCTCTGTCTTGTTTTTTTGATCTAGACATATCTGGTGGTGTCTAACTCTGGGGGAGGGCCACACAATCGTTTTAACAAAGAGTCAGAGATGGACTTTTCTGTGATTTACAAGTGGAGCAAGAAAAGAAAAAAGTTTGTGCGGTTCCAGTCTCTGCAGACCTACTGTGCCCGCGACTGGGAAGCCTTTAACATCAATCGACAAACCTATCTCGCTGTGGCCAATCATAGACAAGGTAAAAACTAAATATCCATCAAATAACTACCTGTTAACTTCCAGAATTTCTGTATTAAATCTGTGTAAAATATCAAAATATTACATTTCTCTGTCCGGTTTGTCTTTCAGGTAATAATAATCACACGATAGACAGTGTGATATACAGGTGGAACAGATTAACAAAGTCTTTTGAGGTTCACCAGATGCTGCCAACCTCAGGGGCCTATGACTGGGAGTTCTTCACTGTCGGACCATACCATTTCCTGGTGGTTGCAAATGCTTTCGATGGAGTGACCACTTCTGTAGACTCTGTCATCTATGTTTGGATCAATGGAAGCTTCCAGGTGTTCCAGACAATTAAGGTATGTGGTGAACATAATAATCACTCAGTTCCAGATGTTTGGTACTACACCGCAATACAGGGTAAATTTGGAAGGTGTTTAAACGTGGGTGGAAAGGAGCACTTTACCGTAACATTTTGCTGCATGATTTCCATACCATTCATTTTCTCACCAGCTGGGCTTTGATTTCCTCTGATGGGATCTGTATTTTTGAGATGAGTATGAAAAACGATCTATCTTGTCTGTGCACACAGAAGGAAGGGAATACGAACAGGGAAAGATAAAGGGGTAATGAAAAGAGAGATGGGGCAGCGAGTAACGGGCGTGTATAAGCATTTAAGACAGAGCCAAAAATAGAGCATGTGGTTTGCCATGATTTGCCTCAGCGATAGCAATGCTTTGACATGTAACTGATAGTGAATCATATATTTGAATCTAGCCACATTTGAGGAGAGAGCGTTGACACATTGATAGTCACATGAGAAACCATAAGGAGATGTGTGATTTAGGGAAACTCCACAGCTGGATACAAGGGTTCACAAGAACACCCTGGGGCAATGGGAAATTAATCACCTGAAATCATTGAGCGAGAAAGAAAACATAATTTTGACACCTTTTAAACCATGCTAACAGTGTGGCTGCATAGATGCCATGTCAGTCAGTCAAACCGTCAGTTGGTTGGTTCCACCACTTTGGTCCAGCCTGGAATAGCTCAACTATTGAATGGATTGCCATAAAAGTTTATACAGACATGCATGCATGATCCCCAGAGGACCAATCCTATTGAGGTTGCTGGTCCTGTGGTTTTCCCTCTAGTGCCACCACGATGTTGAAATTTGTGATTATAAATAAAATATCTCCACAACTGTTGGGATGGATTGCCATGAAATTTTATTTAAACTTTCAGGTCCCCACCAGTTTAATGATCCCCTCATTCATCCTCTTGTGCCACCACCAGGTCAAAGTTTTCACTTAGAAATGTGTGCAATAACTTTGGTGCTAATCAGAAAATGCTAGCATGATTAACATTATACCTGCTAAATATAAGCATGTTAACATTGTCACTGTGAGCAATGTTAGCAAGCTGATGTTAGCATGTACTGTAGCTCTAAGCACTGCTGCGCCTAAATACAGCCTCACAAAGCCATATACTCCTCTCATATCTCCTTTCATGTTTTAACACTGTTCAGACTTCCACCACACTGACAGTATGTTGTCTTTCTTACTGTCAATCTAGACATTTTGCGCCACAGACTGGGAAATGTTTCAGATTGGTGGCAGAGTCTTCTTGGTTGTTGCCAATGGACACAGACTCCATGGTAACGGACCAAGTCGATACGCCATCAACTCCACTATCTATGAGCTTGACATGAATGGACAGCTATTTGTCCGCTTCCAGGACATTGTCACCTACAGGTACATATCTGCAAGCATTATACACAATATACACACAGATAGATTACAGGAACACTTCCTGGCATTTCACCCTCTTGTAATCATGTAATCACCACATACCTTTATGTCTCTCCAGTGCAGTGGACTGGGAGTTCTTCAGCCTCGGGGAGGAACATTTTCTGGTTGTCGCTAACTCCTTTAACGGAGAATCCTACTCTCTCAACAGCATTCTCTACAGGTAGTCAACTTGTCAACAACACCCCTCCCAGTGTGAAATAATTCACCCATACTGATTGCTATGTAACTTAGTGAAATCATCTCAGGGACATACACCTACACTGTTGTAATGTAGATTTATTTTCTTCCTGTGGGCCAGACTAGTGAAAGCATACCAGCACTTTTGACACGTGAGGATTCACTAGGAACTAGGAAATAATCCACAGCTAATTTTTGATCCTGAGCTATTTTTAAGCAGATGCAAATACACATTTGATTTGATTCCTCTTCTCTGTTTGTTTTTAGATGGCAGGGATATGAAGGCTTTGTTCCTGTTCATTGGCTCCCAACCATTGGGTGCAGTGACTGGGAGTTTTTCAGCTTTAAAGGAGAATCATATCTGATCTACTCTAGTGCCAAAGCACCTCTCTCCAAAGTGTTCAAACTGAAAACCTATTAGGCAAAAGAGTGTGCACATGGCTTTGTGAACTGTGTGTGTGTGTGTGTGTGTGTGTGTGTGTGTGTGTGTCTGTGTCTGTGTCTGTGTGTGTGTGTGTGTGTGTGCATGTCATTCTTTGTAAGGGTGTACATTGTCCCTTTGTGTCTGTGTTTTTGTGTGAGAAAATGTATGCAATAATGTTTGAAATGTGTGTGTGCCTTTACAAAACTGTGCTTGTCCACAATTTCAGGGTCAACCTCAATTACATACTGTCAGGGTTTTAGCAACCATTAAAGCCATGTCCTTAATGTTATTTTTGGGGGTTATCCAGTGGGTTTTAACAACCTGAGGAGGACATTGCATTCAACAACTACACAGAAATTGCACATGGTGGATTTTGAAGAATTATTCTGATATTCCTTAGTGTAAATATCTTTGTATTTTATGGTTTTAGGCAAGAAACATTAAGTTAAATTGACATATGATAAAAGGATTAATCTAGCGTTTTTATATTCTTGCAGCGTGGAGACAGTTTTGAAACTGCATTTAGATCATCATGTAGGGAGATAAAATTAACAGAAAATGTAATTCAACAGTTAAACCAATTAGTAAAATAAGAAAAAAAAAGTAAAATAATTACAGAGTTTTTTTTTGTGGTGACTACTCAGAAAATCTCCCAGGGGTTTTGGCTGGGGTAATTTGGTATAATGACTAACCCTGCATACAGTTATCCCACAATATTAACTGTTTGGGCTAGGTTAACATCTAAACCTCATTTTAAAAAGAAAATTTAGTGTGCACAAGAATTCTATGAGAATATGTCTATTTGTGTGCATTTTCTTACAGAAACGGACAGCCTCTAAGATTCCTATATTTCCGTAAAAGCATTTTATATTGAAATTATATTTAACATTTTGTTTATCTAGTGGAATGTGTTCTCTCAAAAAGACTTGGACTGATTGTAACTTTTTGCCTTTGACTGCATGAATTATACATATATATGTAAAAGTGAAAGTAAATTATTGAAATTACAATAAACCAGACTTATTATATGCAAAACAAGGGTTGTTTTTATATTGTCTAATCTTCAGATATGTTCAGTTAGAACATAGGCAACAAGGGTAGCAAGATCAAAAGTACATGTTTTCATTCCAAGTCATTTCGTCTCCAATCAGATAACTGGTGAGATCTTTGATTGGTATGCAACCCTACACACATGGCCGTGGACACATAACTGCCATCAACTATACTGGCAACTGTGAAACGTGTTTTGGTGCTGTCAGACTACAAGTCCCATGACCCTTTTGTAACGTCTAAGAGAAGAATTGTGGGAAATGTAGTTTTTGTGGCAGTATATTTTCCTGCTGTTTAAAGAGATGTAGCTAACAAATATTATGGTCGTACCAGTGAAGTGAAGTGACAGAAAATTACAGAAATTACAAAAGACTGAAAAATGCTTATATGCATTGGCCAGTTAATATGTAAAGAAAATATCGTCAGTTATATTCATTTTAAGCATGTATGCTAACCAGGTGTGATACTACAAGTACCAGAATGCACCATTACATTCTCTGCTAGGAAGAAACATGGCTGCCTACTGTTCACCGACGATATCTGTATTTACGTTTCGTTTATTAACTGTTATAAGACCGACAGAGGAAGAAAGAGCCATTGTCCGAAGCAATTTTGAGTAACAGTTTACTTAAATCAGTCCTTGCAGTTTCGGTAAGAGGGCGCCATTTTTTAGTCGTAGATACATTGACGGTTAACGTTACGGAGAACCTGATTTTTTTTTTACATTTTCGCTGAGCTGTCAAGCTGCTCATCAGTGTCCTGCTGTTGATTTGCCTTTTGTTAGCGTGTTAAGCTACGTGAATAACATAACTGCGAGGCCAACGCATATACATCCGGTAATAGTCGATATGTTCAGCCCCGTGAAGTCCTCTTATTTCAGAGTCAGCCCGGCCATTGTCAACAGAGAACTCGGCAAGACCAAGATGAGATAGCAAGAGGGCACATCGGAGTGTTAAAACACGGTTTACTACGAGGCTGAGTCCCAGCATAACTGAGAGAAAACTGAGTTAAAATAAAGAAAACTCGCACGCCATGTTTGGGAATCTTTTCGAAGAAGATGAGGAGGAAGGCTTCTCTTCCACTTCCTCCAAAGGGAGAGTTTCAAAGGGGGGAGACGAGCCGCCTCCAGCTCGAGGAAGAAGCAATCTGTGCGGCATCAAGAACCAGGGAGGGACGTGCTACCTGAACTCTCTGCTTCAGACCCTGCTGTTCACCCCAGAGTTTAGAGGTAAGGACAAGTTACTCTTCCTTTGGTAGGAAGAGACTGAGGTCCACCACTACAGAAGCCAAACATAGTACAGTTAACTATTTATTTACTTATTCATTGTTTTGTGTGTATCTTTGCAGAGGAGCTGTTCAGTTTGGAGCCAGAGGAGTTAGGATCCCTGGAAGACAAAGAGAAACCAGGGGCCAAAGTATAAATATAAATATAAATTGCAAGGTGTCTAAGGTGTAACAACGTATGTGTGTGTCTTTGTGAAGGGTAATGAAGCTTTCCCTTCTTTTCCTCAGGTGAGAGTGATCCCACTGGAGCTCCAGAGACTGTTTGCCCGTCTGTTGTTGGTGGACCAGCAGAGTGCCTCCACTGCCGACCTCACTGACAGCTTTGGCTGGAACAGCAGCGAGGTCTGTTCCCGTTATCTTTTTCAGTGAAATGGAGAAAGGGAAGCTCAGGTTACACTTCTCAATTCCGAGATGCATCTACTCTCCAGTCTGATCATGAAATACATGCTGAAATTCACCAAAGCGGTTTTCAGACTTACTAAATAGTGGTCAGGTCAGCACCCTATTTAGAATTTGAGTTTGTGTGGAGGCATTTATGCAAAATAAATTTGTGAAGAGGGATAATGAAATATATAAATATAAAAACATGAAGGGAGAGAAAGAAACAGAATTTGAACCAGAGCTCTAAAATCAATCGCTCAAAATGGAAAGTGTAACCTAAGCCCTAGCTGGGAGAGGTGAGAGTGACTGTGCACATAATACATGAAAATGTTGAAAAGTTGCTGTGTGTAATGTTGGGTTCAAAGTAAAGAGTGACATGTTGTGTACTGATCCCTTACTACAAACTGATTTTACAGAGGTTTTACAAATATTTATTGTGTTCTCAGTGGTAAAATGAATTAAGTACACTCAATAAAATCAATATGTGTGAAGAAGCTGCTTTCTATTGGAAAAGAAAAAGTAGTTGGTGTTATTATGTTTTGTGGTTGACGTCTTGCATGATTTTCTGTTAAGTATAAAACTGAAATGCATTGATTTATTCTATAATAACAACAAAAACATTATATTATAAAAAGTGTTACGCACTGCAAACTATTTGTACATAATATAGCATTAGGACACAGCACATGTCTTTCTGTCCCTGATTTGATCTTTTCTGTTGTCCTCCTCTTTTAGGGGACAAATCAGCATGACGTGCAGGAGCTGAACAGAATTCTGTTCAGCGCTTTGGAGCACTCTCTTGTGGGCACCACTGGTAGTACATTTATTCACCGGCTCTACCATGGTACCATTGTCAATAGCATTGTCTGCAAGGAGTGTGGAAATGTCAGCCAGAGACAGGTGTGTCCATATGCCATAAGCCTCTATGCCTCTCTGACCTGGCTGCTTTTGTAAAGTTATATTTTGTCCATTAAAAAAAGTTGTAAATATGTTTTATGTCTTCTGCCAAGTAAGATTTAATAAAATTGATGCCTTCCATTACAGGAGATATTGTAGTAGTACAAAGATTTCCAATTAACCCACATCTGATGTAAATGTTTATTTGTGCCTTCTATAGGAGGACTTCCTGGACCTGACGGTGTGTGTTTGTGGCGTGTCTAGCCTGGAGGAGGCTTTGTGGAACATGTTTGTGGAGGAGGAGTTGTTTGAGGGCAATAACTTGTACCGCTGTGCACAGTGTGACAGGCTGGTCACTGCTGCCAAGGTCAGATTGTGCTAACATAATAACATTATAATGATATTAAAATGTTTTAATATTTTTTTTCACTGTTTCTCACCTTCCTTTCTTTGCTCATTTTGCTATTATTCAGTCTGCTAAGCTGAAGAAGCTCCCTCCATTCATGACCATGTCTTTGCTGAGATTCAGCTTTGACTATGCCAAATGTGAGCGATACAAAGAGACAGGACGCTACAGCTTCCCCCACACCATCAACCTACAGCCATTTTGTGAACGGGTACCTGACAGATTTTAACACTCTGACCTCACTTTTGTTCAGATTCGGCACAATTAACAGAACCTTTTTATTTCAATTATTGTTATTATTTTTCCATTTTCTTGGTTTTCAGGCTCAGGTTTAACTTAATGTTGGAAGGCTTGGTCACACTAAGATGTCTTAAAAAGTAAACTATTATGTGTTCCTCTCTTACAGACTGATGGAGAGGACTCTGATTACACTTACAACCTGTTCTCTGTGATTATCCATAAGGGCGGCTGCTATGGTGGCCATTACCATGTTTATATCAGGGACATTGACGAGCTCGGTCAATGGGAGCCACCGGTGAGAAAAAATAAAAAAGCAAACAGGAGGATTAAAAACAAAAAACACAGATTTTAGTACAAATAAGAAGTCATTATTTGTACTCACATTTTAGAATATAAGGTGCCGGTACTGACAAATGGCTAATTGGTCATTGAGAATAGTTTATCAACATCTGCAAGCCTTTGAATGTGTGCACTGGAAATGGCAGCATCTCTGTGTTGTTGTTAGGAGGAGAACTGCAAACCTAAAACTCAGAGGAAAGTCAAGGAGGAAGTCAAGGAAGTGTGTGAGTCAAAGCTGCAAGAAGATGACCCTTTGTCTGTCCTAACAACTATAATTGCCCAGGTACTGCAACAACACATTTTTTATCTAGTTCTCATACATGTTTTATTCTTCCACACCAGTGACAGCCATGGCTGGAGGGATTATGTTTTCAGGTTGTCCATCTATCTTTCTGCAGGT